CAGAAAATTTTCATCTCTCACAAGGTTGCCAAAGTTTTAGAAGATGCTTCTATTGCTATATGAGATGTTGCAATATTTTAGTGCTGCTCATCTCTTTCAAAGTCCTTGGGCACCTTTTGGGAATCTAAATGGTGTTGCATGGCCAAACCCTGGGCCAACCGTGTGGCCCCCAAGAAGACAGATATTCATGCTGTGGAAAATTTGAATAAAGAATAGCAGAGAAGTTCTATATTAGGAATGGTCCAGATAATATAAAGGAAAGATTCCAAAGATAATAGTGTTAAGGATTCCTTGGGTTGTGATATTCTGGTTTACTTTAAGCAACCTTGTCTGTTGTAATCAGTGGAATGACCTCTATGACCTAATATCTCTATTGCCTAAATAATGGCCAAAGGTAACAAGAAAATGGTTATCTCATTTGAACAAATGAGGGTTGAACTTTGCAAACTTCTACCAACCATAGTAACTGAACTATAGTATTGCCAAAGTTTCCAAATCAGATTTGAAAAAAGAACAAAATGTAATTGCATAGCATTTAGTGATTCAAAATATGTAAGGAATGACATCATGGAGCCCACTGGATTTAATAATTTAATAATTTCAGAGTCTTGTCAGACTTAATTAAGGACTCTACGTTCTTAGCTTTGATGTGTACCATGAGTCAGTCTATAAATTTCTCCAAAATCACCACACTAATTAATAAAAGCATTTATTAATGAAACTTAACTCCAAACATTAGACTTTGTTTATTATGGTTAATCCATAACCTTCTTTAAAAAAAGAGTACTATTACTGTGTCAGAATTGATTAAATATTTTTTTTATTTAGCTGAAAGAAAAATTTCCAGATGCTCTTTCATTTACATTGTCTGATCAAACAGGCATGGAGATACCTACTTTTTCACTTGCTTTGGTTTGATGCTTCTTTACCATGGCCTCCTCTAAAATTGAGCCCAGAGAATGTTTGGGTCATTCTGGGAAAATAAGAGTTTCAATAACAAATATAAAATAATCTAAATGAATTGGAATTTAAAAAATAGTTTATAAAAATAAAATAATTTATAAAAATATAAATAAATATTTATAAATAAATATAAATATATGTTTATTAAATATATATAAATATATATATATTTATAAATAAACACACTTTATAAAAGTGTGTACAAAATTTTGATTCCTTATGAATAGATAGTGCAAGCCACATGGTCAACTGGTGTTGAAGCAAGATAAGAAAACTGCTCTATTTTCTTCAGCCTCTTTAAAAACAACTTTGATGTGTAGAAAACATAGTAGTTAAACGTTGGCCTTTAATAAACGTTGGCTGATCCAGCTGCTGTAAAAGGCAGAACTGTAGGGGCCAATTCAAAACTGGCAACTCTAATAGATCTCATTATAATTTTTGTCATGTAAGGAATTGACAGATAATCCAGTCTGCCAAGGAAAATAGCCTGAAGCTATATGGTTTGCAGAGCTAGCAACTTTGGCACATCAGTAAACCTGGAGCATCCAGAGGCTCATTTCCATATCTCTTTGTAAAGAAAATCCTCCCGCATCTTGATCCATCCTTTGAAGTTGTTTGACTAAGCTGTCTCTGGCAGGGGAAGGAAAAAAAAAGAATATTTCCTACCTTTTTTTGATTGTTAAGCAGAACTTCTTTCTGAAGACTCTGCCTTCCTTGCATTTTAAAGTTTCAAGCTGCAAAATCGGTAATGTCTACACTTCTCAGATTTAGCAAAAGCCACAACTTTTGCTTGTGGGAGGTATCACTAAAGTATCCACCAGCATCTTTTTCCTTGGTTATTGGTTTGCTCTAGGAGTGATGTACAATATGCAAAAGGCATCCTTTAAGCCAAGAGTCTTAAATTGCCACAGAATCACATGTGGTTTCCCAAACTTGGGGAATGCAACTGCCAGAACAACTGCAAAAATTGTCTTTAGTTTTAATTTTTAATGTGGCATAACAGTGAATGCAGGGGGATTGGAATTCACTTAAACCCCTCCTCCCCATGTTCAACAGATACCAGTTAAGATTAAATATAGCCCTGAATTTGAAGGGGGGGCGGAAAGAGGGGTCTTCAACAAGGATAACATTTAAGATTAGCATCTCAGTGTCTCTTTCCAAAGGCACAGATTTTTTTTTGTCAAGCTGTTTCAGGACTGCAATTCTATATAGGTTTCTCTGGAAGTCAGTTCTAGGGTGGGATAGTAGAAATTGCTATGTTAATTACTCAACTTTACTTTGCATCTGGGAGTCTGTTTATTACATGTATAGATAATTCACTAAGACAAGGGAAACAGATAATTCCTAAACAGGTTTCTGGAATAAATGTTTAAAATGTCCTTACTTATTTTTAGCAGGAAGAGAAAAATATTTTGAGGATATTATTCCTGTGCATGACTCCTGGCTACCTCTGATGATCTACTTCATTTTTTAACACTTACATAACTTCCAAACATCTGGGGAGGTTACAAAAATCAAAATAATAAAAATGGTTCACAATGATATCCTTTAAAAGTATGTATGCAATTCTTACGTTCTCAAAAATTGCTTAAAATGTAAAATCATAATCAGCAACCAGCACTCCAAATTAAAATGCTGTAAAGTGGACACAAAGGAACCTCTTTGGGAAAAGTTTTCCATGAAGATGTTGGAAGAATTATCCTTCTGGGTTCAGTTCCAAGTGGGGGAAAAGACATTGGAAACATGGAGGCTATTTGGAAAGATGGTTTAATGGTGGATAGGACCACATGGCTTGAAGCTCCAAAGAAGGATGATCACATGCTCCAAGGTGAAGGAAAAGAGAAAGAAGGGCTGGCCAAGATGCTGAGAGACCCTTATATACCCTCTGTTGGGCCCCACCTTAGTGTTTCCTGTTCCTGTGCCAGAAATGTATCCCATTGGCTGTCAGACTCCCAGGGGCGGGGGTCTTAGCTAACTCTGTAGGCTTTTCTGAGTTCCAGGCTTGGTTGAGCCTTGCTGGATGATGATGCACTGAAAGGGCTCTTAGGCAATTGCTATACCTTTACCTGGAGATCTTTGTTATGTAAAGTATTCTGGTCCAGGCCTTAATGGCCCACCCATTAACAAAGGTGGGGATGAGCTTCTGCTTCTGAGGTGTTTCTGCTCTTGAGTTTCTACTCTTTTTAGGGGAAAAACTGCCTTTTTAATATTTCCTAGGATATTTCAATTTTCTAGGAGAGGGGTGGGTACTAACTTCCTATAAAGGGTACACTACAATGAAAAGATCCGTTCTCTGGAAGATACCAGCCAAGTATAGTTAGTGGAACATTCTGTCATAAGTTCTTGCTGTGACTATTTTGTTTCTATTTCAGTTATTACAACTGATTTCTTTCTTACAATCTTATTTAAGGCCTTTTCAGTTTGCATCTGTTATAAAAAGCCATTCCAATAATGCAAGTTTGTTTTACCTTTTCTGAATGGAAAAATTATTCCAACCCATGAATAGAGTTAACTTATTGTTACCCAGGATCCAAGGTTTAAAATATATTTTGATGCATTATTCTTATGATGATGGTATTTGGATACTTCTTAAGCTTGTCAGCAGGTAGCAGTCCTTGGCTCATCTTATCTGAACCTGAAAGCTAAGCAGGGTCAGGCCTGGTTAGTAGGTAGATGGGAGACTGCGAGGAAATGCCAAGCTATGGACTAGACGGGGAAGTTGACAAATATCCTTGAAGAAGCAGACTTTGGCAAAGCATTTCCATACTATTGCCAAGACAACTGCAAGGACAAGTCCTTACCTCAAAAGAGACACAAACAAGACTTCCAGTTATTCTGTTTCTGTCTCAATAGATTTTTCTGAAATACAGGGATCATTCTTACGCTACTGAAAGAAGATTTTTTTTCCCAACTGGTACCCTTTGCCAAGTTTAGACTGCTAATCTCTTAAATTGAGGATTATCTGTACAATATCAGTCTTTTCTGACACCTTTGTTGAAGTTAATGGTTCCTGGCTGATGTTTGACCTGCTTTAGAACTTGGGGCATTAAACAACAATTAGAAAGAGAAATGTTGTGGGTAAAAATATCCTATCTTTCTGGAATTCTTCCACAGGTGTGTTTTTGAGACTCTAATCCTGGCACAATTTGTGAGGCACATTGACTAGTCTAAGAATTGCTGCTTTTGTGGCAAAGCAATACATAAAATGCTATATTGTTGGTTGGAACTAGAGCAAAGTTGCAGTTGGTGATCAGAGCTGGTCCCATGCTAGATATCAAAAGTGATTTGGATACAGTACTGTGTATACTTTCTCTGTTTGCTTTATTGGGTAAGCAATAACTCTTATAAATGCATAGACTGAGGAAAAGATGATAGGCTGTCAACAAGTAGTTATGAACTTTCCCATTTTTCTTGCATCACCTGCTTCTACATAGTGGCTGAATATGTTAGGGTTGATTGAAAAGGTGATGGCAAGTGTAGTGGCAACCTGGATCTTAAGTCTATTTTCTGGTCTGTGAATGCCTAAGATTATTATTTAGAATGTCCTAAAATCTGGTTTGACTGATGAAAGGGAGATACTTATCAAACAACCCCCAGTTGCCCTCATAGGCAAGATCTGCTGTTCTTCAGCTACTAATAGATTTGCCTGTTCTACTAGCGATACTAATCAAGATTGCTATTTCTTGGCTGCTTAGTAGCAGTTCAGGAATAATTTTCTTGAAATCCCAGAAGGAATAAGATGGTTTAAAGCCTTTAATCATTTACTGTAGTAATCTCAATCCGGCAGACAGTGAGTGCTTGGGAAAAATGAGAGGAATTGGATTGGTGTAAACGGCTGGGCTCCTATTCATTGCTGCTCACTTACACATTCTTATAGTCTCCATAGTCTTCTAGGGTACATTCTCCTCCAAAAAATATGACCACCCATGTTTTTGTGTAAGATATTGGGTCTATCAATCCTCATTTATATTGCTTTCGTAGAACAAGAAGGCTTTCGTGTTTTATAATGTCCAGTATGTTCTATTTTTGTTTTCTAGACTTAAAGAATGATAGCAGCTGGGAAGTTTGCAAGACTTCCACCGGATATGCCGATGAACCATGAGTTTCCCTTGGCCTCTTCTATGGATCTGTTGAGCAGCAAACCTGCTCTGGCTGATGAACTTCATTCTGGTACCCATCAAGATATTTCTATCCATGGTACCCTTCCGAGAAAAAAAAAGGGAACCCTTCTTCTTGGGTCATGTGATGCCTTCAACAACATGAAAATGTTGCCATACACCCAAACCAATCAGTCTCCAGGACATTCCATTCAAGGTGTCATTGAAGAATATCCCCAGAAAAACAGGAAAAGTGACAGCCATCCACACAGGTAAATCTTGTTACGTTTAAACCTGTTGTGAATGCTACTCTATTTTAATGGCATTAACAAAATCTCTCTTCCTCCCCACCCCTGTAGATAGATATCTCAATCATATCTTCTGTCAATCATGTCTCATGTCTTCTGAATAGATACAACTATAACAGTGAAGTTACAGAATGGCGATATATATATATGTTTTCTTAAGTTTTCGCGGGTACTTACATGTATGGTATTCAGCTTTGTTCAGGTATTTTCCCACGTCATTATAGTTGTGCTTTTAAAGTTCGACGAACGCAATACAGAAGCCTGATGATGGCAGATGAGATTCTGCCGAAACGTTGCTACAACTTTAAAAGCACAACTATAATGACGTGGGAAAATACCCAAACAAAGCTGAATACCACACACACACACACACACACACACACACACACACACACACAGGTTTTGGCATGTTCAGGTCTTTTCCCGTGTACAATTGAGAGTATCTTGGCGATGTTTCGACAAGGTCCCACTCGCCATCTTCAGGCTGGTGCTTTCGGCTTTGTGCTTGTGCGAGCAAAGCCTTTGTGCTTTGCTTGTTGCCAAGATACTCTCAATCGTACACAGGAAAAGATCCGAACACACCAAAACCTGCATACCTGTACCTGTGAAAATCTACGAATTATATATATAAGCCTGATGATGGCAGATGAGATTCTGCTGAAACGTTGCTACAACTTTAAAAGCACCACTACTATGACGTGGGAAAATACCCGAACAAAGCTGAAGGCCATACATATATACATATATACATATATACATATATACATATATACATATATACATACATACATACATACATACATACATACATATATATATGCATTCAAAAACCTTCATATGTCTGAAATGTTATAAATATTACTTTTTGAGAATCTGCCTAATAATCCCTCAGTGATGTACTGCCTTGATGTGGGGTTTGTGTGCTCTAAGGAAGGTGAGAGCTATGTCAGAGGTTCAACCATTTTGGACAGGTATCATCAAAGGAGCAGGACGAAGAATGTCTCTCCCATAAACAAAATGGGGAGATATACAGTAATTTACAGAAACCCATATCAAATCGGTTGTCCCCTGGGTCAACAAGGACTGTGCTAGTTGTTGGAGTTCCTGGACATCTGGTGACAAATGGGTTATCAGGACTTAGTACTGTTGGCTGAGCAGTCAAGACCAGCAACTGCAGGACTATTGGAAGAAAATCTGCTTACCCACCACAAGTATACAAAGATTGAAAACAAAAAAATAATGGGCTGGCATTGACAAAAATCACCATCAATCAATTGCAAAAGGCAGCTTTACTTGGAGCAGCTTACATACTGTGATGGTACCTTTAACACTATAGAACAACAACATTTGCCTATCCCAGGAAGGACTTGATAGGTAGATAAAAATGCCAAATCCAGTCTAAACATCTGGTTGACTCTTCAACTGTGCAACAACAATAATAACGAAAACATCATCTAAAAATTATTGTTCAACACTGTCCAAATATACAGCTAAGATATTGCAATAGAATTAGGATTGGACAGATGTTCTACTCTTACCATCAATAGGGAAAAGCAGTGAAAACTGAAGAAATCAAGATTCATCAATAATCTGGATAAAGATCATTATAAATACCCAGGCATTCAAGGATACCTTCAGGATAACAACATCAAGTACACTGAAGTCAAGAAGAAGGTTAGAAGTAACTACATCAGAAGAATGAAGAAGATTTTAAAAGTCCAAACTCAGTGATAGAGATACCATGAAGGTGATTAAAACCTGAACAATCCCAGTCATTAGATATACAACTGGCATAGTGGATTGGGCTCAAGCTGAAGTAGAAGCTCGGAATAAGAAGACCAGAAAAAACAATGACAATGAATCCAATTTATCCATGTAATTAAAACAATTTATCCACGTAGAAACAGACAGACACTATTTACCAAGGGACTTAGGTGACAGTGGAATGACTACCTGAAGGACAGTGAAGTAGATGCATTGAAGCTAGTAAAATAAAATAACCTTTACTGTCATTTTTTACGCTGAGCACATTGGCACACATTAAAAATGAAATTCTATTGCCTTCTCTCAAAAGAAAGTATATATCTACCCATAACACTCAAATACACATGCTACATACATACATACATACATAAACACACACACACACACACACACACATATACATATACATATACATACATATCTATATATACATATATATCAATCACTATCCATTTTGAGTATATAGGAGAAAGAGGAAACTTGAGAGTTCACATGGCTGATGCTATATGGAACAAAACTGACTGAATCTAGATCAGGGGTGTCCAACCTTGGCAACTTTAAGACTTGTGGACTTCAACTCCCAGAATTCTAGATGTTCTGCTTCGGATACCATGAAGCCTCCTCCCAGAAGGTAACAAGGAAAGCAGGTCGTGAAGAGGAGATGTAGTGTCTTCCAGGCAATCCTGTGGACCCTACTCAAGCATCACTTATATGATATGTCCTGGATAGAAGGGAGTGAACTTAACAACCATGATACTAACTTAACAAATGCAATGATTCCCATAACAACTGTGGCAAGAAAAGTCATAAAATTGGGCAAGACTCAAAAATGTATCATTTAGCAACATAAATTTTGGGCTCAGTTGTAACTCGAGGACTACCTGTGTTTAAAAGGCCTGATGCACTATGCTTTCCCATCAATGTGGCCTTTCTTTTCACCTCTCCAGTGCAGTGGTGCTGGCTTATGAAGCCCTGGCAACCCCTGGCATTGAAAACACAAGGAGTACAGCTGTTGAGCAACAGCTGCAAGGGATGATTCAGCTGTTTGGAGCAGCTGAACATTGCACCTAGCCAGAAAATAGAATAGCACAATTGTGTGTTTGTGAATGTGTGTATGTGCATGCGTACTTGTGGTTGGGTTGATAGAATGCCTGAAGCATCCTTTACGAGAGCCACAGCAACTTACTCATTATGGTGAGTAAAAAAATGGAGGTAAAATGGTAAGTTATACCAGTAGGTACTTTCACCCTTTCACCAGAAGTTGGTGCCATTTCTGAATCTGAGCCAACCACTGTCACCCTTGTCATCTGAACCCATTTCTAGCTATGGCCAAAGAGCAATTGCTGGTTTCCTGTTTTTCAATGTGCAACATTGCCATTCCATGGAGCTTAGGGTAAGCTGTGTTTCCACTGGTAGAAACTCTTGACTCTTTGCTGTCTCCCACTTGCACCTCCTAAGCTATATTTGCGTCCCAACAGCAGAGCAAAGGTTCTGCAACTCCCAACTTAAGAGCACGAATTGGCCGCGCAGTCAAATACAGGGAGGAGAAATGGGGTGGGGGCACTGGCAATGCTGTTAATATTAGGGCTTCTTCCATAGGTATCTGTAAAGAGTGCTGGCACATTCATGAAAGAGTTCTCAATGGCTGTGTAAGGAAAGTTGCAAGCTATTGTGAGGGCAGATCTGAGCTTGAGAAGTGATGATGACATGTAGGAAAGTCCACCATGTTTTTAGCTGGATGAACTCAGCAGAAATCTGGACTGAATTTGACAAAACAAAATTGACTATTTTTTTAATAAAAAAAAAGTCAACTCAAATGCAGAAATATTAACTAGATTGGGGGAGAATACCTGGCTTGGCGGTCATGTATGTGAAAAGGCTGAACATGAATCAATATGCCATGCAACTAACTGACAAAAAAGTCCGACGCAGTTTTAGTTACATACTTCTGTAGAATCTTGAGTTTCTGAGTCTTGAGAACTGGAAACTATAATCTGCAGTTGGGGATGCCTCACACTTGTAAGATGAATGTAGATAAATTGTTCACTGAGAGCTCATGTTTGTATGTGCACTGTATGTTTGTAGTTTGTATGTACATTGAGAGCTTAGGCACCAGAGACCAATTCTTTGTGTGTCCAATCACACTTTGGCCAATAAAAAATTTGGTTTAATGAGTATTAAAAATAATTCCCATGAGAAAAGGTTGAAAGAATAGGGTTTGTTTATTTAGTTTGTTTATCAAGCCTTGTGCTTATGGGAGATATACACAGAAATATCTGGAAGCTTGTCACAAAGAGAACAGCAAAGAGTAATTTTCCACTGCTGTTTAAATTTAAGTTTAAAAAATACTGATAGTTCATGATTGAACATTGATTTAATTTTAATTATAAGTCCAGTTTTGACCATAGGAGCAATTTCTTAGGATATTGTCAGCTTGTTCTCACTGGTAAGTGTCAAGCAAATCCCTAGACACCCATTTGTCAGGGAGTGCCTTATCTTTGGATTTTCTGTACCAAGGAAGGAATGGAATTAATTGTTCATGCCATGCCTGCTTTATGATTCTAAAACAGTCAGACTCTTTCAGCATTCTGGCTGGGGAATTTTGGGAATTGAAGTCCACATATCTTAAAGTTGCCAAGGTTGAGAAACACCATTCTAAAGTCTCAAAGTTTCTTACCTCCTCCTGGTGCGTGAGTAGTCCATAGGGAGGAGGGGAGGACAAGTACCATAATTATCATAGACACTGATATCATAAAAACAGGAGGAACCAGCAATGCTGATAGGATTTACAGGCCCAGATCAGATTAAATAAATTGGTCTCCAGAGTACATGGAAAAACAGATGTATGGAGATCCCAACATCTGAGTCTCTTTCATGCTTCTCTCTCTCTCCCTCCCCTCCAGTAAACACACACACACACACACACAATATCCCATCCTAGAGAAAACTGAATGCCAACAGGAAGCCATCTAACTTAATCTGTGTTGCTATAGCTTCTCTCTTCCGTCACACCAATTATCATTTAACTTTTCTAACCATACCATCTGCCTTTTGTTGAACAAAATGATTTCTTTCTCTCAGTAATTAACCAGTCTTGTGGTGCAAAATATTTTGATTTACTCATTTTGGTTTTGATGTTATTCAGTGTGGAATTCTATATCCAACTTTGTTTCAGAATCTTAAAACCATAAACTCAGTAG